CGCCCCCCCCGCCGGCAGCCGGGGTCCTGGCTCTTACCTTTTTGTAGTCAAGTTTTGGCAGCTTTCCCCAGGCGAGAGATGAAATGAGAGCGAGCAGATGGCAATGTAAATAAAAGAGAAAAATGAGAGAATGAGAGCAGAATGGAAATGATGAACAGGACTCGAACGCTTGAATGTCAGAGCGCCGAGGGGGGGGTCTGCCCATCCCACGAGCAGGGGTGATGCCGGCGCCATGTGGTGCCCCCAGTCCCGTGGGACGGGGTCAGCAACTGCTATTCCCATACAGCTGGGTGGGCACGGCGGGGCCCAGGGCTCTCCTTCGCCAGCCCTGCCTTCGCTCTCGCTGCTGTTAGATCTATCGCTTGCCGCTCGCAGGTCTCCTTCCTCCCTGTCTTCCACCCACTGCAAACCCAATTAGAAATCTCCTCCTTGGCACCGCTCCCGAGCGCGCTGAGGGAAGCCTGACCCAGAGGCTGCCGGCGAATTCACGGGCGACAGGCCGGAGGGCGGGCGGGGCCCGCCCCGCCGCCCTCGTCCCTCCCCTGCCAGCCCTGCCCGGGAGCTGTGGGTGCTGCGCTCGCCTCCCGGCCAGGAGCAGCTCCAGGTCTGCCGCAGCAGACGCCTCCATGCTCATCCCTGAAGCCAAGCCTTCATGTTTGAGAGAGGGAGAACCCCGGGGTGGGGACATGCGTTCTCAGCACCCAGTGCAGCACCCAGCTCAGCACCCAGGGCAGCGGGCTCTGGGGTGGGGGCTGCAAGTAAGCCAGTTGCAGTTGGAGGGGAGAGGAGCATCCTAGGAAAGCAGACGGTGTGGGCTAATCCTCTGGGGGCTCAGCTCACAGCCCATCCTCCTGTCTTCTGTAAAACCCTCCACTCCTTTCCAAGATCTACAGGGACTAAGGTCTTCTTCCACCAACCCACCACTGTCAGAGCCCAGCCATGTTGACCGGAGCCCTCGCTGCTCTGGTCCTCGTGCCGGGTGAAGCAGAAAGGGGCTGAGTAGCACCCAGAAACACCTTCCACAGGCCCAGAAACAGAATTAGGACCTCAGTTACCTGTTTCTGCTCCAAAATGTGTAAAAAACCCCTAACTGCTCTTCAATCACGCAGACGGCAAAGGCGCTGAGGCAGAGCACTTTGTGGCAATGATTAGCAGCATTTAAAAGAGCCATTTATAAACTGACAGCCGGTCACAGCGTCAAGTAAATAACAACATCGGGTCGGGCGCTTTTCTAAAAGCATCAATAGCTGCAAGCATCTCGTCACAGGATGAGCAGCCGTCTCCATCCTGCTGGAAACGCCCTGAAAGGCAGGGATAGAGGGAAGGGAAAGGGCAGAAGCACTGGGTGTGGGGATGAAACTGGAGCTGGCAAAAGGATGGATGTGGAGAGCCCCTGGCACAACCCGGGGACGGGGGAACACCCGGCCATCCCCACGTGCTGCCCGCGCCGCTGCATTTGCTTGGCACAGCTGCGGCACCTGGGTGGCCTCGTGGTTTGGGCAGGGCTCTGGTGGCCCCACAAGGCAGGATTCGGTCCTTGCTGTTCACACACACGGCGCTGAGACGTACCTTGGCTTTATTGATCGTGCAGTGGAGAGCGTTGTTTTCTTGATCATAGAGCAAGCTGAAATCCAGCGTCCCCAGCGTGGCTGCAAAGGAGAAAAGATGTTATTAACCCGCGGGTCCCAGCAAACACTGGTTCTTTTTCCTCTAAGCACAAAAGGAGTGGATGAAGATGCTAGAGAAATGGCTGCAGACGTTATAAAACATAAAGCATCCTCCTGCGAGCCCTGTTATGAAACATGGCTTCATGCTGGGAGGCTGGTGGCCATCCCCACACTTGGCCAGGGGTCTGGCACAGCCCTGGGAGAGGAGTGAGAGGGAGGAACGGCTGCAGCTCACCTGGGCACTGCGGCCAGCGCAGAGGCTTTGCCTCCGTGGGCTTTCCCACAGGTCGCCCACATCTATCAGCAGTCCCACTGCAGTCAGCAGTTTTCCATCCCCCAGGAGCTGATGGCTCTTCTCTGGGAAGATCTGGGCACGGCTGGGACACAGCTGAGACCCACTCTGCACATCTCCCCTCTCCAGTGCCGCTGGCATTCCCAGAATGCATATTTGTATACTGACACCTTCAAACAAATGAGCCACCAATGGGATCCCTTCCCAGCTCCAATTTGACTGCAAACTGTAAATTAAACCCAGTGAGAATGGAAATACTTTTATGGTTAAAATGAAAAACACCAACAGCTTTTAATCAATGCAGTGTTCTCTCACAGCATCCGCAACCCGGGAAGAGCAGCAATGGGGTCCCGAGTCGGGACCAAAGAGAAGGGGCAGGAGACCTGAACAAACCACAAGAGCCTCAGCAGTAAAAGTACATTTGATTTGAGAAATTCTTTCCCTTTGGACAGTCTGAGCACGTTACACTAAACCAAAGCAGAGGAAAAGCCTTAAAAAGACAGGTTTTCCCGAAACATGATTTAACCTTCTCCAAGGCTCTCAGATCCAATTTCTGCACCAAAGCCTGGACACGAAGCAGCATCTCCCCCAGCACAGCTTCGCCTGCCACCAGCCTTGAACTTCCAGGGCGACTCTGGACCCTGCAACCCGCAATTTTCCATGCCCACCTTCCCGAAAGGGGTCTGCCCGAGCACTGCCCTGCCACCACACAGCATCCCACCGCTGTTTCCAAGGTAACTGCACCTTCCTGACGTGCACGCAGGTTCAGAGCAAAGAAATAAAACCCAACCAAATAAAAACCAGAACAATTTTGCTTAATATCAAAGCAGGGTTCGCTCCCTGGGAGGTTAGACAAACTTTATGGCAGGTAATAAGGTGCTTTTTCCCAGCGTAAACAGCCTCTGCAGCAACGTACCCCCCGGGAGGCGGTGGAGATGCAGGGGACTGAAACCTCCCTGCTGCAATTTCACAGCGATCTTCTAGCCCAAACGCGAGTGAGCTACAGGTTTGCCTGCTAGCAAATAAAAATCAGTGCTCCGGAGCAAACACCTTCCCTTCAAAGCAGAGCAAATATTCAGAGATTTCTAGCAGAATAACGTGCCCCCCTCCTTATTCAGGAGTGATTTCACGGCAGGTTAGCTATCGGTTTGGGTAAGTCATAAATCAGTGGGGTTTTCCTGCCAGGGCTCGGGGTAGATGGACGGGGTACAGCGTGAGGCCAGAGCTGCAACACCTTGTGTGTCATCGCTGGGCTTGGCCCGAATGGGCATTCCCAGAGCAATTACCGGCCAAACTCGCTCCACATCATGCAAGGAGGAGGAAGAGGCAGCAGTGCCCCAGTATGCTGGTGGCTGGCTGCCCCCTGCCCACACTCAGCGACCGGGAGCTCACGGCCACGTGCGACAGCGTCCGAGCACCAGCACGGGGGCCGGCGCAGCCCGGCGCGCCGGGGCGGGCGTAGCGGGAGGCTCCACGGCACACGGGCGAAAGCCAAGTCAGCAAAACTCGACAAATGTGCGGTTTCATTCGAGAGCGGAAGATGAAGCCTCCGGTTTTCGGAGCCTCATCATTTCCACCTGCCCTTTAATCAGCCGCTTCCTGCCAGCCCCGCCGCTCGCCCTCCCAAGTTCAAGCTGTTATTTTATTTTTATCACAGAAGGGGGCCGCGGCTTAGCCTGCTGGATTTGGCAATTTATAAAACAAATTAGAAGCTTGATGGGAAAACAGACTTCCAAAGGGACAGGAGGCTTCATCAGTATTTCCTGGCCGGAGTCTGTCCCAGGGGCGAGGGCAGCGGGGAGCCCTGCTCCGCCAAGACGGGCAAAACCCAAAAGCACCGTAACACAACAGCAGACACTTGTTTTGCAGATGGGGACTGAGGTCCTGCTCCCCAGTGCTGGCGGTTCAAGAGCAAACCTTGAGCAGTTCCCATTCAGCTCGGAGCTGCAAGCAGGCAGGAGGGCACAGGCAGGGACGTGTGGCTCCCCCCAGCCCTGCCAGGCTTCATGCCCAGCTCTCCTCCAGCCTTGGAGAGTTTTTCCTCTATGCAGGGATTTTTTTTTCATTGATGGCCAGTCTCGATTCCCAAAGAAGGGTCTGCCTTCAGCAGAGGGATGTGGAAACATCAGCAGAACACATTGAGCTAATTGCTTGAAAACGTGGCCGTATGGAGATGACAAAAGGGATCAGGCTAACTTGGGGTTTGGCAGCTAAGGTGCCACTACGGAGCCGAGGGCGAGCGCTGCTGCCAGAGCCAGGACTCAGCAGGGTGGCAGATGCTGAGGACACATCTCCCACGCAGCCACACTGTCTCCGTTCCCTCCTGGGGACGCACTGCGGGCG